CTTTTCAACAAACAACAAAAGTTCCTAGGAAATTATTACTATTACTTCTATTTAAGTTATCTATTACCATAAAAATGCAAAAAAATATTGAGCTTTTCTGATAAATTTACAATAAATAGTAATTATAAAACTTTCTGACTGCATATTGATCTTAACGATACAATTTTTTTAATTGTCATAAAATTTTCTATTTAATTATGTCAATGTCAAACTTACCAATTGAGCTAAAAGTTATGGTAAAATAAATTTTTTTTTTTTATTATAAACATTTACAACAATCAACTTTAAACGATTAACAAAATAGGTTAAATATGTCATTTTCCTTATTTTTAACTTATTAATAATCAAATTAATATTAAATATTATATCAAATCAGTATTAATTTAAAACAATTTTTTTTGTTCTTAATTATTTTTTTTTATATGTAAAAACTATTTTTTAATAATATTAAAACTTAGAAGTTATAGAAAAAGTCTAATTGCACATTTTAAAACATCGCGAAAAGTTGATTTAGAATAGTATATTTTTGTTTCTGATGGAAGTTCCTTGTAGTCCAGTGTATAAAACTTATAACTTTGTTAATTGTTATAACTTTATCAAAAATGACCAAATCAGTATATTTTTTTTTATTTAGATGCATGTCTTTATCTATCATTTGGTTTTTTTTATAAATCTAACCCTTTACCTGCCCACAAGAGGGATTCAAAATATTAACTTTTTTTTTTTTAGTTAAAGTAAATCATTAAAATTAATTCAGTTCTGGATATTTCAATAGTAGAATCTTTTTAAATATCAAAAATTACTTAGAAATGATTACTATGATTTCTATTTAAGTGTTCTATTACGATAAAAATGCAAAAAATAATGAGTTTTTCTGATAAATTTACAATAAATAATAATTATAAAACTTTCTGACTGCATATTAATCTTAAAAATAACATTGTTTTAATTCTCATAAAATTTTCTATTTAATGATTCATTCTAGTCAACGAAGGAGTAATTTTGCAGAATAGCAGAAAAAATTCCCAACAAACTTTTTTTTTTTTTGTTTTAATTAGGCAATTGGTGGATTATTCCAAAAGCAACATCAACTCTTATTTCTTTAATTATATCATGATTAGTAGTTCTTTGATTTTAAAATATAATATATGAATATATACTAATTATAATTATTAAATTTAGTATGAAATTGATATTTAATATTGTAATTTAAACGGAGAAATTATAAAAATAATAAAGAAGTTATATTTTGCTTTACTTTTACGTGTATAAAAATTTAAAGGGCTTGATACAATAATTTTCAATAAAAACTGTTTGTTACTATAAAAAAATGCACTGGACTACAAGGAACTTTCATCAGAAGCAAAAATATACTTTTCTAAATCAAATTTTCGCGTTGTTTTCAAATCTGCAAGTAGACTATTTCTATCACTTCTAATTTTTTATATTATTACTAATTATATATATAAAATAATAATTAAAAGAAAAAAAAATTTGTTTTCAAATTATTACTGATTTGATTTTTAATATGTTAAAAATAATCAGTCCAAATTTTCAATTTTAACCTATTTTTTTGGTTCTTTAAAGTTGATGAAAAATTTTTGATAAAGATTTATGAAAGTTTATAGTAAAATAAATTGAATATATTACCATAACTTTTAGCTCAATTACAAGTTTAAAATTGACATCTAGGCCAGTCAACAAAGGAAAAATTGCGGAAAAAATTTTGTTTTTTTAAAAGTTGAATTAAAATATGTATAATGACATACTAATAGTCCTCAAGATTGGAATTGAGCTTTTTTTTTACAGCCTCGCAAAAGTTCAAAAATATGAGCTTTTTTAATTTTCTCAAAAAATATTTAACTTACAAAAAAAAGTTTCGTACAAAAGTTGTTTAAAAGACAATTATAAACAAAAAAATTATCTTATATTTTTTCATTTAAACAAATATTTTTCGAGTTACATTACATTTAATATGAGTACTAAAATTTATATTCCATTTTTTTCATTTTACGGTTACTTTTTATCATGTTACACTTACGTTAGACACAATGTTATAAATGCATATGTGTGTATGTGTGAGTTTATTTATTTATAGTATCATTAAAGTGTAGTGCATATTAATATACAAGCGATAGAGTAGGTAATTGATTTGACGCTATATTATTTAAACCCAACTAAAAGCTAAATTGTACATTCCGAAACAACAATCATATTATGTCAATTGCCACCGGAATTTCTGGTAATATTTTTCTTTTTCTTTGCCTTAATCCCAACTACTTGGGGTCGGCCACCCTTATCCTAAGATTCCACTTGACACGATCTCCCACATCTTCTACGCTCACATCAGCTGTCCTCAAATCGCATTCAATAGCATCCCTCCATCTCTTTTTTGGTCTTCCTCTATCTCTTCTTCCTTCAACATTCATTTCTATAACTGTTATTACGGCTTCCGATTCTTCTCTCCTCATAACATGACTAAACAATCTAAGTCTATTTTCTGTCATCTTATCCACGATTGACGCAACACCTATACTTCCTCTTATATGCTCGTTCCTTATCNCTTATACTCACTCTTATATACTCGTTCCTTATCCTATCTTCTCTAGTCACTCCACTCATCCAACTAAGCATTCTCATCTCTGCTACACTTATTCTCTGCTCTACTTTCTTATCAACCGCCCAACACTATGAACCATACATCATAGCTGGCCTCACAATTTCATACTAAATTTAAAAACTATAATTAGTATTTATTCATATATTATATTTTAAAATCAAAGAACTACTAATCAGGATATAATTAAAGAAATAAGAGTTCANTTAGGATATAATTAAAGAAATAAGAATTGATGTTGCTTTTGGAATAATCCACCAATTTCTCTAAATGAAGCACTATCTACAGATTTGCATCGAAGCGTTTCTTATGATAGTGATTTTAATCACTGTCAGATATCATCTATACTTCTCCCATCTATGCCTCGTCCACACTGTGCCTCGACCCCACTGTGCTACCGTTTTTTTTTATATTTCGATTAATGACTTATTCAGTAGGGACATTTTGAAAAGAAAATTGTAATTTAATAATATATCATAGCAGCACAGATTCTGTGTCTGTTTGTTTGAAAAATATTAGTGATATTCAATTTAATAAAAAAGAATTATTATGTCGAAGGGTACATCAAAATATTATCACCATATGTGAGTACCACATTAAAACATATTTTACGAAATATCACCACATATTAGTAAATATTGCATCATTAGTTTATTGTCATGTAGTTTAATATTAACATAATCTTTTTACCAGGGCAGATCCTACTATTTTCATCATCATCATCAAATTTTTAAACGAGCTCAATTAGTTCATTACTAATAACATGATCATTTTTTTTTTTCGGAGTTGGGATCAAATTCACGAGTTGTTCCAACCGTATATTCAGAAACATCAAACTCTTTACAAATTTTATCTTGTGATCACGAATGGGGCAATAAACTAATAATTTTAACTTTACCTTATTTGAAGAAACAATCATCTTTTCTTTTAATTTGTTAATCAATTCGTTATATTCAGATAAATTAGAAGTTTGAAAATATTTAGAGCTTGATGTGAATTTAGGAATAGCTTCTAACCAAACATGTAAATTAAAAGATACTTTTTTATGAATTGCTCTAGTAACCTGAACAGAATTTAATTTTTTTAAATTTATTAAAGGTGACATTTTAAATATATTAAAAATCGAGTCAATATATAAATTCTTTCTTCTTCCGAAATAAATAAATCGTCATTGAAACTTTGATTTGGTGAATCAGATTACATTTCTACAAAGTTATTTTATATTTTATCCTTTTCAAAAAAATTGCTGTAGCAATTACAACATACAGAATTAGCAAGAATAACAGAATTATTTTTTTTTATTTTAAAAATATGTTTCAAAATAAACGTCTAATGGATCACAAAATTTTCGTCCAAATATGTGATGATATTTCGTAAAATATTTTTTAAAATCGTACTTCCATATGGTGGTTATATTTTGATGTACCCTTCGACATAATAATTATTTTTCATTACATTGAAAATCATTAATACCTTTCAAATAAACGGACACAGAATCTGTACTGCTATGATATATTTTTGAATGTCATTTTTCTTTTAAAAATGTACCTATTGATCAATTCACTATTCGAAATATAAAATTAATATCATATTAATATTATAAATCAAATATAAAATTGTAATGATTTTGTCATTATAATTTTTTTTTGTGACATTTTGTATTTCATATTTAAACATTGTTTAATTATGACACTAAAAAATCCAACCAAAAAGATGTAAAAAATCTACTTAATTGAGCGTATTATAAAAATTGATTATAATTTGTAAGAATCCATTGTCAAATTCAGGTGATACCCAAATCATTAATTTAGAATTTAATTATACAGTAAAATTTAACAAAAAAATTTGGAATTTTACAGACTGGTAGTAGGCCATACAAATAGAGTCAAGAATTTAATAAATAACAAATTCAAATTATTTAAAAATCATGATGGTAAAATAATAACCTTCTCAGCTTCGTGTCAAAGATTATAGAATATTACTTATAATGAATAAAGTAAATTACTAATTAAATAAGTTTAAAATAGAACTGAAACAGGCAAACGTAGTTTTATTTGGTAAATTTGTTGTTTCACCTTAATACTACACTAAAATAAACATAATAAGATTAAAAAAATTATTGTTATTTAAAACTAACAATAATTTTTTATTAGGACAATAAAAAAATGATCAAGCAATCAAATATTTTGTTCCAGTAACAAAAATATAATTGAATTAAATCAATCATACTTATTTATTGTTAAAATAACAATAAAAAAAATTGTCTACCCAATTTTTTTTTAGTGTAGTCATTTTTAATTATTACTCATAATCCCAAACACCGTCCAATCTAAAAATGACTTGATAAACTTAATAGTTATAAATATAGTAAAATAAAATTTACCTTTACTAAATATCAAACAGGTTATAATCAACAAAAGAGATATCAATTGCCAATTCTAGAATTAAGTAAAAGATTCTTTTAGATATCAATAAAATATAAAGTAATGTTAAGTTTATTACTCACCTTCATTTTTACTCTAAGTGTAATATTCCGAATAACTAATGAGAATATTTGAGCTAAATTGATGTATATATTTATATATTAATGACATCATTCATTATTTTCGTCATTAATTTTATTTTAAAAAGAATATTTTAAGTAAATTTTTAAGTATATACAGAATGATTTTTTTATCATAACCCACTCAATTACTTGCAAAATAATAATAATTTAAACATTTTTTTTTATTATTTATAAACATTTAAAGTTTCAAAATTTTGAGTTAATATACATGTATAACATCGATATTAGCAGGTACACAGCATTTTTATTATCAATTGTAAAAGGCACATTGTTATGAGTTTATAAATACACTAACTGACAATACAGAAAGTATATCTATTGATAATCATAATTGATAATAAATAATCCGTGACTGAGACAGCAATGTCATAAAAATCCAATTAGCTACCTGTATTTACAATCCCATGTGTATTATACATGTATATTAACTCAAAATTTTGAAACTTTAAATGTTTATATCTAATAAGCTAATAAAGTTATATTAAAAATTCAAATGCCATTTACTATTAAATTAAAAACTCAAACATTTTATTAAATTAAAAATATGTGTTACCATTTAAAAAAACAAAGTTGACCCCCCTCCAAGGCATAAGGGATGAACTTAAAAAGTATTACATAGTTAAAAATTCAAGAATAATGTGTAACTAAAGATAATAAAAAAAAAAAATGTTTAAATTATTATTATTCTGCAAGTAATTGAGTGGGTTATGATAAAAAAATCACCCTGTATTAGGTAGTTTCTGATATTTTAGAAAATTTAACAACTTTTAAATCAGTGAATATTTAATGTTACTTCATTATTTACATAATTAAGTTAACCTATTCATAAACACATAAAAAAAGCAATTATTAATCGCAATTGTTATAACACATTATTGATTTTATAACTCAAAAATAACAATTATTGTTTTACTTCAACTTATAGAAAAAAATTGGCTGTTTAAATCTGACTCTCTCTTGTTTTAATAATTTGGTGTCAAAAGTCTGTTTGTTTTTGTTTAGTTATGTAATGTTAAGTTGTAACCCTTAATTGAAAGTAACTAAGCTTATTGTTGAGCGCCATTTATCGTAACTCAAAAATAATAATAATAAAATAAAAAATAAAAAAAAATTTAATTGATTGAGGGTAAGTAATAGTGTGACTGAGAGTGAGAGTTACTTATGATTCGAGGGTTATAAAATAACAATATGAATATTCTTATGGATTTAAAAATCTTACTTGATAATATTTCTTTAGTTGTTAAAAAAACTTCAGTGATAAAATTAATAAAATGATAAATAAAGTAACACAAATTTTTAGTTCACAAATCAAGCAGGTAAGAATTTCGACAACGAGTATCGCAATATACAAGTAACGATATTTGGAGCACGAAATGAACAGGCCAGAATAAGGGTTTGTTCTGCCTTTTTATAATACTTTTGTAAAAATTTGTGTCAAATTTCATTAATTTTGGTCAACCCTAAGCCGTGCCTCAAGAGGGTTGAAAATTAAATCATGAGAGTAGTTTTTCAATAATTGTAGTTTATTTCAAAATTTATGACTTTTACATAAAAATTTATAAGAAAAAAATTGTAGATATGAATATTTTACATAAAAAAGTTATTTCTAAAAAAAGTCATAAGTCATATATTTACCTCGCAAAAGTTAAAAGTTCAACCAAATATATGTTTAAGAGTAAAATTCTGAAATTTTCACAATTTTAAAATATATGATGAAGCGTTTGTATTATAAAAAAAATGCTTGAGTAAAAGTTGTTTTAAATTAAATGTTTCATATTTTTTGTAAAAAAAAAAACAGTTACGAATTTTTTAATTTATAAGCATAAGTTTCGTTCTAATATAATTGTAAAAAGACAACGAATCTTTTTAATCTTTTAAATAATTATAAATAATGCAATATAAAATGTACATATAATAAATGATTACAATATTTTACAATATCCAAATTCATGTATAAATTTTAGAAATAAAAATAAAAAATGAATAAATAATAAAAATAATTTATCCCATTAGTGAAGCCTTTTTACTGTTAGGGAATTGCTTTGATATTGTGTTACAACTTGTAATATGTACTGTTTTTGTTCCTCGTTTTTTGATCCTTTCTTATTAAAATCCTCCATTAATTTTACCGCACGCTCTGCAGTATCATTCGCTACTTTTAAATTATTGATAATTTCTTGACTTTTGCAATAACTTGAATTTTCTTCCCATATAGATGGGTCTGTTTCCATAAAACTATAATCAATATTAAATCGATCAAAAAATTTAAAGTTTTACTTGTCACAAAATCTTCTATTTTTTTATTTTTTATAAAGTTTGATACTTCATTGAAGTCCAAATATATGTGTTTATTTTTCATGACATAATTTTCTTCCCCATCGAAATTTTCAGTGTCAATTCTTTTAATGTTAAATGCCATTTTAGTTTTTGTCTCGTGTGGAATATGTTTATCGAAAAATGCTAAAGCAATGTTGTCTGAAGTTAAATACCATAAATGGTTAACAAATTTTTTCAAATTATTTTTAGATAATTCTTCATCTATGGTTTTGTATTGGAAAATATTTTTTAAAAATTCTAAATCTTGTCGAGGCGAAAAAGCAGCAATTGGTGCATTAAACCAAGCTTTGATGTATAAATTAACCAAGAAAATGCATATACTCGAGATTGAATTATATTCTTTTTATGTCAACTTGAATTCTTCACGAAAAATAAATATTTTAAGAGTATAAAGCGCTTTTGACATCCATCGAGCATGGTGAATCGCTCCTGGAGCTCTAAATAATACACCTCTAGGCGGAACTTCATTTAAAAAAATTATTGTTAGCTCAAGAAATTCTCTATAATCTTCTCTAAAGTGGGATAGTTTTAATTGATTTAAACAAAACTTTAAAATATGATCAATAGAACTTTACAATTTTTCAAAAATAAATCGATCGTCGATATCGGACTTGTAATATTCAGTATTAATTTTCGGCCAAGACTTTTGAAAACGAAGAAATAAAGGGACATTCGGTCCTGAAGTTATACCAAATTTTGTGTCAAATGTACATTTTAAAATAATCTCGTAAATATGATGACGACACGGAAAGTATAAAATGTTTTTTTCTAACCATTGTTCTAACAAAACACACGTACCTCCAATCCTGCCTAAACGATAATTAATATTACTATTTATATTTTCAATTAAATTTTGAAGGATACAAAATTATAAATAACAATTAATATAGTTTTAATTAAAAGTAACAACACGAAAAACGGTAATTTTTTACACAAAAATAATAATTTTCGTTTAACTTCGACTGAATAAAATAGATAATAATAAACAATTGTTTTATTTGCCTGTGTTAGTTGCTGTAGCAGGCACGTAGACATGGGTGGGCCTGGCCCCCCTTAGATTTAATCTAATTTAACGTGCTAGGTTATATATACATTGAAATTATTATTAATTTGTGATTACTATTAAATAATACAGTTATTATTATGGCTGTATATTCATTTTTATATCCATAGAAAACGTTATTTGAAAATGATAACGTTCTAAACGTAATAATAAATGGAATAGCAGTTACTCCAAACGTGGTTGCAGGTATATTTGTTTTAACTCTTGTTCAACAAATGATAACAAACTACCAAGTATCTGCATCGATTAGCATCTAGTACATTACAAAATTCGATAGAGTAATACTCTATGAAAATTTTTTTGATAAATCTTATCTTTAATTTATTTTTTTTTTTATAATTTTGTTAAGAACCCCTGAATATTATTTTATAATTGTGTAGAGTATATAATATATGGTCGTCCGACTGTCGTCGAACACAGGAATGTGTTGACCAAGGGTTTTAGGGCAACCATGGGCAAAGGACTCCCACTGTAGGAACTCTACAGTCAGTCGTGGTTTAGTATGCGCTAGTTACACTCATTCTATATCATTTTAAATCATTCTATATCATTCTATGTCATTATATTTTATTATTCTATTCATTTGTATTAATATTAATAAATAACGTGTATTGTATGATGTGTGTTTGTGGGGGCGCCTCACTTGCGCCTCCTGCGTTCTGAAATAATATTATCTCCCTCCATTAATAGTTGTTATATATACGTTATTATTTTGGTATAAAAACTATAGTTTCTTTTAATAAAATTCAGTAATTTTTGATTTTTAATCGGTGAAGTTTGTAAAATAACGTGATCAACGTGAGGATAAATTGAAGACTATCATCCACAGATAAAAGTAAGTTTTTCAATAATTCATATTAGAACACAAGATGAATTATTTTACAATGATATGTGTATTTTAAATTTTAGATGAGTATGATAAATAAAGATTGGTTGAATGGTATGAAAAATAAACGTAGAATGTGTGTGTCTGATCTTAAAATAGGAGTAGAATACAAGGTTCTGGGACTGTACGTGATAAAATCAAAATACTCGAATGAGACTCCAGTGGCTGAAGTAAAACTTGATAATGAACCGTCATTTCAAGTTTATTTACCCGCAAGATTTACATTCACTCGTGAAGATTTAAACAAAGGAATCGATGAAAATCTCAAACNAATCACTCGTTAAGATTTAAACAAAGGAATCGATGAAAATCTCAAACTTGTATGCAACGGAAGAAAAGATCACACCTCTAGTTACGATATAATGTTCTTATAACTAATTATTTTTTAATAGAAATATGTGTTAAAATAAATATTGTATTTTTTAAAAAAAATGAAATAATTATATGTACAATTAAATNAATGAAATAATTATATGTACAATTAAAATTATTAATAAATTACTCTCGTTTAATTTAAAGAAACGCGTGTTTTATTTACTGGAAAAAATCCTGATCATGCTGTGAATAAATTACGTGAGAAATCTTTAGAAATTAAAAACTCAAGATTATAAATTGCAACATATTGTCTGGAAATATAAGATTGTAAAATAAAATGCATCATCTAGTATACAAAAAAGGTTGTAAAATAAAATACAATTGTATCATTTAAACATATTGCAACATCGAATAAGTAAAATTCTGCGAAAACGATCAGCAACTAGGATGGTGAGTTGGATGGTTGTGATTAATCAGGTGAAAAAGTCGAATAAGAAAAATTCCGAGAAAACAATCGGCGTCTAGGGATAGTAGTAAAAATTGCTAACATTTGCAAAAATATAACAATTAAAACCAGGAAAAATGTCCTGTACCGGTTTAATAGTGATTTGGTTGTTGTTTCGATATCATCCAGTGTTTTTAGTTATCAGATATCATCAACATGAGTTTCACATGTAGTGTTTGTTGTAAAACTTTTAATTTTTCAAAGGATTTAAAACGTCATGCCGATACTGTACATAAAAATGATTTTTATGATTGTGTTTTATGTGATAAAAAATTNGTATTTAAAACGTCATGTCGATACTGTACATAAAAATGATTTTTATGATTGTATTTTATGTGATAAAAAATTATCGAGAAAAGATAACGTTAAAAGACATGTTCAACGTTGTTATTATTATTATTATTATTATAGTACTTGAAACTGCTAAAAAAATTGATCCGACACCAGCAGATGTAGAAATAGTGAATGTATATCCTGGGGATAGTAAAAACTGTAAGTATAAAAGTGAAAACGCATGTATATATAATAATCATGTAATTATGTTTCAGGGATCGAGCGATTTTCAGAAGATATTGAATTTGAAGATGTATGTAAGTGAGAATTCATTAATTAAAAATAAAATTTAATATTAATTAATAATTATCGTTATCAGGCGTAGAAAATGAAATGACTGGTACAGGTATTCCACACGCGCAGCAAACTAAACAATCGATACCGAATAGTAAGAAAATCAACTTGATAATAATGTCGAAATTGTGTTTTAAAAATTATTTTTCATTTACAGATGATTGTGCAAAAAAATTGCGTGCGAGAGTAATAGAATCAGTTTTTTCGGGCAATATAGTTGTACATAGAATTGAAAACATAGATCCGTTTACTATCCCCGAATTCATTCAACGATATGCGTCGGACATTGAAGATGTGTGGAAGAATTCAATTAAAAAACATATTGCGGTAAAGACTTCTTTAGATTTAGTTACAGTTTATAAAAAAATAATTAATGTCAATAGTAGTGCTAATTTAGAAGTACCCACAATTACACAAACACTTTCGATTTCTCCTTTTGTTTTAACACCATCAAGTAGTATTTCCGAGTGGATTACTACTATTAAACATCTGCTACAGAATAAGTCCGAAGAGGTTGAAACGCGTGGGAGCGGATGGGTTTTCAGTGGTGTAATTTTTTTGGATATTAACTGTTTTAAATATGATCCTATAAGGGGAGGGTGTAATACGGTAATTCCAAAAAAATTACTTCGTAAAAATGCTTTGACAAACATAGAATGTGAGGGGGAAGATTGTTTTTTTTGGGCCGTGGTTGCTAGTTTATATCCGGTTCAATCGCGTGGTGTGGATAGGAGTAAGCCCGATTCTTATCCACATTATAATACAGTGTTAAATACTACGGGATTTAACTCACCTATAACTCTTTCAGAAATCAAAAAATTTNATGGGATTTAACTCACCCATAACTCTTTCAGAAATCAAAAAATTTGAAAAAAATAATAATATAAGCATAAATGTTTACACTTATGCTAATGAAAAAATTGCGGGTCCATTACATTTAACCGAATATAAACGTAGCAAACACGTTAATTTATTGTTTATAGATAGAAATGATAAACCCTTCGGACATTTCTGTTGTATTTCTAATCTAGAGCGATTGGTATCCACACAGCTCTCCAAACATAACTCCCGTAAGTTCTTATGTGATGGTTGTCTATTATTCTTTTATTCGGAATTAAAACTAAAACAACACCAGCTTGAAAATTGTATGCGTGTAAAAACGGTTGTACCAAAACCACCCAAAAACATCATGAAATTTCAAAATTATAATAAACAATTCCCCGTCGAATTTGTCATCTACGCCGATTTTGAATCGATATTAAAACCTATAGCTACATGCGATCCAAATCCGGCACAATCTTTTTCAAACAAAATTAGCATTCATGAACCGCATAGTTTTTCTTATTTTATAAAATGTTCATACGATGAAAATTTGGATCGTATGGAGCTATATCGTGGAGAAAATTGTGTGAAGGTGTTCATTGAGAAACTAAGAGAAGATATAAACCGTATAAGTGATATTTACTCGAATTCCGTTTCAATGATGCCGTTAACTTTAAAACAAGAACACGATCATTATTTAGCAACTGTGTGTCATATTTGCGGCGGAGAATTACGTTATCACGATAAGGTTTTCGATCATTGTCATTTAACGGGAAAATATCGTGGCGCTGCGCATAGAGATTGTAACCTAAAATGCACGGTTCCGTCATTTGTTCCCGTAATTCTGCATAACATGCAGAATTATGATTCGCATTTTATTATTACAGAACTTGGATTTGGGGATGATGATGAGGGCATTGAAGTAGTGGCAAAAACTAATGAGAAATACATGTCAATTAGAAAAACAATTAAAACAACTAATAATAAGCGGTTGACGTTGAAATTTATACTCATTAAACTTTTTACCTTCTTCTATTGAAAAATTAGCTGACACTTTAATGCCCGAACAATTTACCATTACAAGGAGAATGTACACGAATGATGATGAGTTCATGATGATGTGTCGTAAGGGAGTATTCCCTTATGAATATGTGACTGACATGGACGTTCTGAATGAAAGTACATTACCTCCCAAATCCTCGTTCCGTAGTATATTAAATATGAGTGATATAACAGACAAGGATTACGCTCACGCAAAAAAAATATGGGAAAAATTTAATTGTTCGACATTGGGGGATTATTCGGATTTATATTTAAAAACAGACGTATTTCTTTTAGCGGATATCTTTGAAAATTTCAGAAAAATGTGTTTAGTAAATTATGGTCTTGATCCTTGTTGTTATATCACTACTCCAGGATTCAGTTTCGATGCCATGAAACGAATTACTGGGGTCAAATTGGAATTAATGACGGACATCGAGATGATTAGTTTCATTAATAATGGAATTCGTGGGGGTGTCTCTCAATGCGTATCTCATTATAGTGAAGCTAATAATAAATATTGCGACAATTTCGACTCGTCGAAACCGTCAAAATATCTATTATATCTCGATGCTAATAATCTCTATGGCGCAGCGCTTAGTCAACACCTTCCACTTGGAAATTTCAAATGGTTAGAAGAAACAGAAATCGATGCGTTAGATGTCATGGAAATTGACGATGATAGTGATTGGGGGGTTATTTTAAACGTTGATTTAGAGTACAGTGATAATTTACATGACCTTCATTCAGATTTACCACTATGCCCCGAAAATATAAAACCTCCGAAATCAAAATTTAAAAAATTGATACCCAATTTATATGACAAAAAAAATTATGTTATTCATTATCGATGTCTAAAACAGGCTATTAGTTTAGGACTAAAGGTGAAAAAAATTAATAAAGTACTTCGATTCGAACAGTCGGCTTGGATGAAAGGGTATATAGATTTAAACACTAGAAAACGAATGGAATCCAAGTCGGCTTTCGAAATTGAATTCTTTAAACTCATGATCAATTCAATTTATGGTAAATGTCTCGAAAACCCCGAAAGAAGATTAGATGTAAAAATTATAACCAAATGGCAAAATATAGGAAAACGATTCGGGGGTAGTGTGTTGATTTCGAAACCAAATTTTCATAGTGTATCAATCTTTAATAATAATATGACAGCCATCCATATGAAAAAAACTGAAATCGTGTATGATAGACCTTGCTATGTCGGGTTTTTCGTTTTGGAAATAGCAAAGACTATCATATACGATTTCCATTGTAATTTCATGAAGAAAATATACGGCAATATGTGTAAGTTGTTGTATACGGATACAGATTCTCTATTTTATGAAATACGAACTGTGGATGTTTATAATGATATTAAAAATAATTTAAATAAATTTGATACGTCGAATTATGACCCCAATAATGTGTATGGCATACCGCTTGTCAATAAAAAAGTAATTGGACTGATGAAGGATGAATTTGGGGGGTGTATTTTACACAAATATATAGGTATATGTAGTAAAACATACATGATGCGTAGCGGGGGGGACGTCGAAAAAAAAAATAAGGGGTTAAAAAAAAGAGTTTTAAAAGAAACAATTGATGAGAGCGATTATTTGAATTGTATCAGTTACCATCACCTAAAAATTCTACGCAGCATGTATGTTTTTCGTTCGTATAGACATATAATCTACACAGAAAAAATTAATAAAATTGCTTTAGAATTTAAAGATGACAAGCGGTATCAAATACCCGGCAGTCATGACACATTACCTTGGGGTCATAAAGACATCCCCCCCTCCTCACCAGATTAAAAAATAATAATATGATGCGTACTTCTACATTATTTGTAAATATTTAACTTTACGTTTTTTCTATGTAAATTTGTAAATAATTAATTTATGATATAGAAATTGTATAAATTTAATATTAATTTAAAAACTTGATGTCAGAAATAAATATAAAGTTAAGTTACTGTTGTTTAGAAATATTATAAAGTTGTAAATTGTAAATATTTATAATTAATTGATTTATAAATATCGGATTAAATTTTAAGTTAATCTATTAACACAGATAAATGTATAGTTAAGTTATTATCATTGAAAATACATATGCTTTGTAATTAATTTATATATCTGAGTAAATTTGATGATAGTATTAAAAATTGGTTGTAAAAAATAAATTTATAGTTAAGTTACTATTATTTTTAAAAAATATATGATTTGTATGAAAATGAAAATTAATAAAACGTATTTAATGGATAATATGAATCTTAATATCATAATTTTCTATCTAATTAACTTATTCACTAATATTAAACTTATAATAAAATGTTTTCATAGCGTTTCCATTTTGCAATGCGACCTCTTCCTTTATGTGTATTTGAAAATTAATTATCTTCACGGAATAATAGATTCTAAAAAAATCAATAACATTATTTATCATAATAAATTAGGTTTATTATTACTAAAAAAAAATTATATACTATTATACTTAATATTTATGATTAAATTTATAGTATGTTATAATACTGTCAAGGTATGCTCTGAGACGATCAACAGTTGTATAATATTATTCTACCTACGAATAAAAATAAAAGTTAATAAGTATAAAATACATTGAATCTATAGTTACTCAATTGTTCCTTTAAATTATAATTTTTTCTCCGTGTTGAAAAAACTGAGTATTTTCGATGTTGAAAAAGTATGTTGTAATACTTACTTTTTTACGTTTTCGGTGAAGATTTTTACTCTTACGTATGTCACTAAATTTTAATTTTTTATTGAAATAATTATTTCATGTGATTGTGTACTCAATGTTATCAATATGTATAACATTATATGGATTATAATGTACACACGCAGTAGACGACTAAAAACAATGATATTCATTGAAATTTAATTTACGCCATGAAAAAATCACACTAAGCGCTTATAACAAGGAGAATACATTCTATCATTATAATCATAAATACTGTGAAATAATGTCCTCTATTTAATTCGATCTTTTATACAAGATCGTTTATGTCGGATGGGGGAGTGTGTTTTTACTTCTCTAACAATTTAGAGGTTAAACGTCATTATTTTATATTTTAACCGCTAGTAAAAACGTACACTATACAATAACTATACACAAATAATACAGAATAATATATTTATTGAAATAAACTGTACAGCTGATAATTTTTACTATAAACATGTTTTGAAAAAAAATAAAATATATTTACAATATACAATTATTTTTTAACCACATACATAATACTTTAATACGATTATTCGTACAACAATCATCATGGTGTTTATGCAATGAACATGTAATCGTTGATACATCGGAATTATCTTGTAAAAGTACATCAATTCTCGGACAGTCATAATCTTCCATATTGATTATCGGTTTGTTTGTAAATCTTTCGAGAAACTTCTTTTTTTGTAAACCTTTAACGTAAAATTGTAAACATCGATTGGCGAAACCGTCCATTATCGTCTGTAGTTTTGAATAATCGACATTGCCGTCAATATGATGTAATTTATGTTTTTTACGATATAACCACGAATTGACTCTAGCTGACTTGGTTGTCATGTAAAAATTATCAGGTGGTTTAAACACGTAATGATGTAAAGTATTAAACGCATAAACTGACAATTCTTTAACAATTAATTGACACCTATAATCTACGATGCATTGAAAATCGACAACTATTGATTCTTCCATCTTGGATCAGCGTCGAAATTATACTAAATCGTTTTTGTGTATCCAACTAGTTTTTTTCAATCCGTACCATTTAACTAGATAGTGATTATTTTTACGTCTTAAAATGTTTTCAACGAGAAACGTACTAGGGAATTTCGTTTTTTTCAACTCTTCTCGATAAAACGTTCCGTTAATTAGCGCACCGTCTTCATCTTTCAACACGTATACAACGGGTATTGAATGTTTTATTTCATGTATGAAAAATATTTCATTTGACCAATTCTGTGTGTATCCTTTAACGAAAGCGGCTTTATTTTTACTAATACGAACCGCGTCACCAATATTAAATAATTTTCGTTTAATGTTCGAATAATTCGGTAAACGATAAAACCGTACGTTATCTGGATATTCCGACGCTTGTGTCGGTGTTTGACGAATCGCCGAATGAATACTATCGTTATAATCATTTACTACTTTTTGTAATAATGATAACCACTGGAAAGACCCCGACGCTGTAAATTTTCGCCACATACGTTCTTTAAGCGTACGGTTGAAACGTTCGATTACGCACGCTTTCACCGCCGAATATGCAGGAAAATGTTTAATACCTTTCAATTTCAGAAAAGTTCTCAGCTCTTTGTTGAAAAATTCTGATCCCCTATCCGTTGTCATGTACAATGGACATCTATTGGAGTTGTTTATTATTGATTCAAAAGCTGCGACAACTACCTTACTGGTTTTGTTTTTTAATGGAACACACCATGCATATTTTGTATATACATCTATTACCGTGAGAATAAAAGTATAATTTTTATTCTTGCTGGAATACTTTTTCATATCGACGAGATCCGCTTGCCACGTGTTGTCTTTACCGTAAGGCGTTACGATACGTCTAGGAAATTTTTTTCTAGCTTGTGCATGTAACTCCTCCGCTATTTGCTCTTTCACGGATTTCATTCTATCACTCCGTTTTCTCTAAGTTCTTCTTCGAGTGATATTATTTCGTTATTTACACCCGTATTACCCGCACGCTTAGATGCGTGTAAGATAGCCAACCGTTCGATTAATTCATTTATATCGTCCCAGTATACGTATTCTTTTCGTTTATTCGTAACGGATAAAAACGGTAGTCCACTACCAAACTTTTCGTTTTCACTAAACAGTGGTTCACGTCCGGTAAATAACTGTTTTATAATATTTTTATATTTATATCCTGGATTAGTTTTCAATTTTCCGTTTTTGTTTCTATGAACTCTAGTGTGGATAAGACAGTTTTTATACGTTAACAGATCATCAGAAGTGATTAAATCGATGTTGGGTATCTTTTTAAATAACAATTCATGTAATCCTTTTGTCAATGACACTTGTTTTAGACTACCGACTTTTATGCTACCCATATGTTCATCAATGATTACTGTTTTATCGCCCATCTTAAATTCACCGTTATCATTAACGGTTACGCTGTAGACAGCATCAAAATTCGATTGTTGTGGTTTTTGATGTTGTATCGGAGACGATAGCACAACCGTATTATTTTTATCAACGTTATCGCTATCATCAGAGCTATTTGATTTCTGATGATTAAAAAAATTTTTTGTTTGATGTGCAATTTCTTCAAGAGGTTCAACAATAGGAGACGCATGCTTGCGTATAAAGTCTCTAGTATCGTCAACACCGCGTTTGAGTTGTAGTAATTTTTTCCTAATACTTTTTTTAGCTTTTATAATACTCGACGTTATATTTTCCTCAGTCTCCATTTTGTACTAANTCTCCTCAGTCTCCATTTTGTACTACTTTGTAATAACCAAGTGTTTAAAAATTACTTCTTTTTATATAAATATCAAAGCATTTGCGATATCTTCCCTCGTTTAACGGAAAATCTTTCGCTATCATCAAAAATTTAAATCTCCCACTATTCCAGCATTTGGCACACATTTCTTTAAATTCTATAAAACTCATGTCCGACGAACAGTGATCATCGTATATGTGTTTTAAATTAGTTTCGTCTTGTTTGTATAAAATAATCATATTCGTGTTGTCTCTAATGAGTTGTTTNACCATATTTGTATTGTCTCTGATGAGTTGTTTTGGTATACGAGAATACGTCTGCGATAAGTAAAATATATCGACACCATTATGTCGCCCTCTACAAAAATACGATGCAATGTTGTTTTGTTTTTCACATACGACATCATCGAATATAAATATAGAATTAGGAGTTGCGGTTTCCGGTGGTATTACTTGATCGTTGTCCGTGTAAACGTTTATGTTTACCCCTTCAACATCATTGATAATATTTTCTAAAATTTTATACTTACGCTGATCCGGTGTTTTTGTATAGAGATAACCGTTTTCAAATTTTAAACCGTTTTCTTCCGTCAGCAAATTATACATAACGTTTGTTTTACCGCAATTAGACGGTCCACAAATTATACAACGAATACTATCAGGTAGTAAGGGACCGTGTTTCATTCGTTTTGATTCGGATTTATTCAAATCAATATTAGAAATCGGTAACTTACACGTTTGCACTTCAAAAAACATTACGTATAAAAGATTGACGCAATACTTTCGCCGTTTTAAATGATGGTTCGATGTCGACGATCAAACAATACTAAACGCGGTTACGGTATAGTCAATTCTCTTATAAATAATCTTCCAGTTGAAGTTCATTGGCCAACGTATCAGTACCTAGGACCAGGGANCTACGTATCAATACCTAGGACCAGGGACGCGGTTGGAAAAGCGATTGGCTCGTGGTGACCCCGGAAGAAATCCGTTGGATTCGGCAGCTCGCGATCACGATATAGCATATAGTAAATATAAGGATCTTAAAAATCGACATCAAGCCGATTACGTGTTACAAAACCGTGCTTG